GTTGGATCTCAAGGGAGTAATTAATCTAATGTTAAGCTTTTTGCAATGTTTTATGCGCTTTACTGACTAACCTTTTCTTGGTTTTTATCCAGTTCTTCTTTTGAAATTCTAGGAGACGACACAAGCACTTTTCAATCGCGTTTAGCTTGAAGAAATCAAAGAAATAAATATCTTACAAGTTCTTTGTGAAAGAGGGCCCTTTTGAGGAATTTTACTATCGAAACAGTTTGATGCGAAGCTAACTCCGATATTCAACCAGGGTTTCAGCATTCCAATTCCAATTTCAATCTCAAGTTCTCTAGTTGATGAGTAAACAGGGTAATTTCGTAACTTTCTTTGTGTCTCTATTGATAAATCACTTGTTTATTCAAACTCCAATTTCACCTGCATCTTTAAGAAGCTTAATATGGCTTCAATACTGATGCTAATTGCTTCCCATGAAGCAGAAAACCAAACCGAACTCTCTCTCAGACAAGCCTTTGAGCTTCTTCAGCCAAAGCTGAAACCCCCCTTTTCATTAGCAATCCCAAACCCAGAAGAGTACTCGCAGCTCAACCATGCTATCCTTTACGGGATTTTGTGTGAACCCCATTTGGCCAAAACCCACATTAAGCACCTTCATGCCATTGTCACTGATGGGTATTGCTCTTTTATTGATTTGCTAATCAAGGTTGTTGACGGGCTGTATGTGAAACTTCTTGACTCGGTGAAAAGACAGTTGATTTGGGTTTCTAAAGAAATGATTGATGTTTCTGCAGTAGGTTTGGGTAATTTGTTGGTTTGTTTGTTGAGGCAGATTGTTGGTGGAGATTTTAGTGATAGCAACCTATGGTTGTGTTCTGAGGTGTTGAACATCTTTTCGACCAAATGGGGTTGTCTATTAGAAGAGGAACCTATGATTTTAGCGAGTGCTTTGTATACTTACCTTCGCTTGTTAGCTGATCACTGTAGATCAATTCATAATCACAACACAAAATTAGAGGCATTAAAGCGTTTGGAGATTGAGTTTTGTGTTAGAGTATTGAAGGAAGAGTTCCATTTGTGTCTTAAAATTGGGAGGGATCTGGTTCGATTACTACAGGATTTGGTTCATGTACCCGAGTTTAGAGCTATATGGAAGGATTTGATACTAAACCCTGGTAATTTCAAGACTCCAGGATTTTCGGATATTTCACAGCTTTACTGCACCAGGACACCAAGTAGTTTTTTTTCACTTCAAATTACTCCGGAAATGGAGGCCCAGTTGAGATTTCTACTTACACATGTGAAGTTGGGGAGCCAGAAACGTCATCAGTCATGGTTTACTAAGAAGTTTCTATGTGGGCCGGAGAGAGAAACTCTGATAATTGACATTGTTCGGTTTATATGTTGTGCACACCACCCACCTAATGAAATCATTCGGTCTGAAGTTATTCCAAGGTGGGCTGTAATAGGTTGGCTGCTTAAATCTTGCACACAGAATCATGTTGAAGCCAATGTGAAGCTTGCCCTGTTCTATGATTGGCTCTTCTTTAATGACAAACTAGACAATATCATGAATCTTGAGCCTGCAATTTTGCTGATGGTAAACTCTATACCTAGATACATTGACATGACTCACACTCTTCTTGATTTTTTGTTCCTTCTCGTGGACAACTACGATGTGGATCGGAATGATCTCATAGTTAAAGGCGTCTCATCGTCATTTAGCATGCTTGTAAAGCAAGGAGTAATTCACTCATTAGATGTGTTGACGTCTTGTGATGTGCTTTTCCCTTTCCTAAGAGAGAGACTTCTGAGTTTGTTCTCTGATAGGAAAGTAAAGGTTTATAAAGACCTGGATTCGCCTCAAAGTCCGCAGCCTTTGGGATTGCAGCATTGTTCTGGGGTGTGAACTCAAGTGGCATCACCAAAAGGACAAACTATAGGTACGGGAGAAATTAGATTTGAACTTTTTGGTGCTTCTGTTTTGATTTCAGATAAGACAGCTGCTTCTGCTTGTTCATGAGGAGTGACATGCGAAAGAGCTATAGAAATTTTTGCGTCTGAATTGTAGTATGTATATTTTAGTGCTTCTAATTATGTTTGTTTGTGTCCTTGAATGAATTGTAACAAGAGCTACTGCTGCTTCTGTAAATTTATACATACTGCTAAGAACTTCTTACGCAAAAGGGCAAAA